AACAGCTTCAAAGGTTATTGCTATATATCCGGCATTATAATAGATTCTGGAGAAAACAAAAATAAGAATGAGATAAGGTCTATGGAATTGGAAATCACACTGGTGGACCTAGAGAGTCTGGAGGCTGTTAAATTCTTATTCTTCTCTAAACTGTCTCCTGGTTCTCCATAAACTTCAACCACTTTGTTAGTGTTGGTTCCTTTTCTTTCATCTATCCTTTAAGACAGTGGTTCTCAAAGTGTGTCCCCAGGAATAGCAGCATCAGCATTATCTGGGAACTTGTTCAAAACATAATTTTTCAAGCCCCACTCCACACCTACTTAATCAGAAACTATGGGGGTGGGACCCAGAAATCTGTGCTTTACCAAGACCACCAGCCATTTCTTTCTTTTTTTTTTTTTTTTTTTTTTTTTTTTTTGAGATGGAGTCTCACTCTGTCATCCAAGCTGGAGTGCAGTGGCCTGACCATGGCTCACTGCAATGTCCGCCTCCTGGGTTCAAGTGATTCTCCTGCTTCAGCCATCTGAGTAGCTGGGATTACAGGCGGGCACCACCATACCCAACTAATTTTTGTATTTTTGGTAGCAATGGCATTTCACCATATTGGTCAGGCTAGTCACAAATCCTGACCTCAAGTGATCCACCCACCTCAGCCTCCCAATGTGCTGGGATTACAGGCCCAAGCCACCATGCCTGGCCATCTCCAGCTCTTTCTAATGTATTTTCAAGTTTTAGAACTGCTATGGTTTGCATGTGTCCTGCAAAGTTCATGTGTTGGAGGAGACTTGATCCCCAATGCAATAGCAGTGAGTAGTGGGATCTTTAGTGATTAGACCACGAAGGTTCCACTCTCATAAATAAATTAATGCCATTAGAGTGGGAATAGGTTCAAAAGATTAGTTCAGCCCCCTTCCCTCTCTTCTTACCCATGTGATGCCTTTTGCCATGTTATGACGCAGCAAGAAGGCACTCACCAGATACTAGTGCATTGATCTTGGACTTCCCAGACTCCAGAACCATCAGGAAATAAATTTCTGTTCTTTATAAATTAACCAGTCTCTTCTTTATAAATTAAACTTAGATCAATTCTTGTCTTAGTTTGTTTTGTGCTGCTATTATGAAAGATGAAATAGCACAAAACAAACTAAGAGAAGAACTGATTTAAGTTTAAATACTGATTTAAGTGTCCAAAAGTTCCATTCGCCACCTTTTTCAGTTCTCATTCTCCATTATTCTGGGTAGTTGGGCCCTCTCCTACTATCTCTACATCTATTACTACTACTAACAATGACAGCAACAGCTGTCATTTATCATAAGCATTTATAAGACAGGCATTGTGTTAATCACTGTGTACACAGTACCTTTCTTAATCTCTACAACAATTATTTAATTCAAATAGGAAGGCTAGGCTTAGAGATGTTAAATAACTTGCCCAAGGACAGCCAACCAATAAACAGCATAACAGAGATTTGACCTGCCATCTTCCTAACTTCAAAGTACACTAAGTTAACTACTATACTAACATGCCTCCTAGAAGGTTGCTACTCCCATAACCTCAGCTGTCATTTATGTTACAGTTGTCCCTAACCATCTCATAAACTCTGAAGTAGAATTTCCAGTTACTTAGTGTATCTCTATTTAAACACCCCATAGAAACCTCAAAATTAACACTGCCATTACTTCTTCTCTTCACTTCAAACCTATTCCTCTTCCTGTGTTTTCTACATTAACGTCATCATAAGCAAACAGCTGCTCAAAGGACTTCTCACTCTCCCTCACCTCTAGCTGGTCATAAATTTAGAGATTTTAACATCTAAAAATGTCTCCAAAATCTATCCATTCCTAATGTCCAATGTTTCTCACCTACATTCTAGTCACCGTGCCTCTTCCACAAACTGTCAACTTTCTGATTATGGCTCTTGTTGGCTCTCCATTGCCAATGGATGGGAGGAGTCTAGACTTTTTAAGATGGAGTAGAAGACTCCCTCATGATTTGGCTCCAAAAATAACTTCCTGCCTCATCACTTCTCCCATGCAGTAAGAAGTGATTGGGTCCTCATGAATGGATTAGTGCCATTATAGCAGGAATGGGTTCATTATCTCAGGAATGGGTTCTTGAGTTTAGCCCTCTCCCCTCTCTCTTGCTTACAAAAAACAACTCAAGATATTTCCAAAAGTGCCATTTAATTTTAATATTCAGCAACTTTGCTTATGCTGGCCCCTCTGCCTGGGATGCTCTCTTCCTCCTCTACATGTGGCAAAATTCTACTGAACCCTCAGAGCTAAGCTCCATCCCCTTCTTCTCAATGTGTTCCCTATCAATTTTTCTCCAGCCAAAGTGCTCTGCTCCCTTAACACATTATTCATTCCAAAAGTCATTAGTTTATCACAACATATAATGGTTAGTGGTTTATCTCTTCTACAGAACACTTAGTATGTTGAGGATATACTGTGTCTTAACCTCTTTTTGTCTTCCCAGCACCCAATAGAGTGGCAAGCCATAGCCAGCACCCAGTAAATATTTGCTGAGTTGTTAAATAATGCAACATTTGCAGCTGTAACTTTACACAACTTAGTTAGTAATTCAACTTCAGGTTTACACATCACTCAAAAGAACTTTCACATAACAGAAGATATTATGAATAAAGACCAAGGGTTCAATATTCAGCATCAGTGTCTTCAATTATTCGGAAAACTGTTTTGTCAGTATTTTTAGGTATCCTTCATCAGAAAGACTCCTTTCCCAACTAACATTTGTATTTTTTACAGGATCAGCAGTAATGACAAACCTCAGAGAGATAAACCCAAGTAAAACTATGTCACTGAGTGTGACTGGATGATTACTGGTACATCATTTCAGTAAATTTCCAACAGAATGGCCCAAGTACATCAGGTAGATTTTAGAAACTGAGACATGCACCACTGACTACCTAAAATACATGCACATTAGTGAGATATTTATCCCAACTAGTAATTGAAATCAAAAGTATATTAACAACCTGATATTGGTTCAAGTGTAATATCCTTTACTTTCAAGTAAGGATAACACTTTTTCTTGTCAAAGACTATACTCTGATTAATACAACCTTTATCCCACCTTACAAGAAGGCTCTATCTTGTTAACACTGGGATCCTGATAAGCCTGCCTTAGTCCTTAACACTTTGCCTTCCCAACCTGCTAAGCCATCTCTCTCCAGTATTCGGCTATAAGAGACCTTCTGCTCCAGATACCAGACACAAAAGTCTTTTTAGTATATCCTTCAACAACCAAATTCACATTACTATTTTTTCAGCCCCTGGTTTGTTTCTAATTCAAATTTTACACTTCTTTCAGAGACCAACTCAAATCTTACCCCTTTCAAAGAGTTCCCTAACTCAGCCTACACATCCTCTCTTTTCCGATTTTCTACCACATTTATAGTCCTCAAACAGCACTGGTTACATGCTACTTAACTTGGTTTTATAATTATTTTATATAGATCTCCTAGATAGACTACTACTTTCAAAGGAAAAAAGAAAAGACTGGTCTTCCATGTTATTTGTAACTCCATAATCCTCTTCCCACATCTATCATGATACTGGGCAAAGGGGGGCACTTGTATTAAGTACTTGATGGACTGAACTAAATGCTTTTTCTATAAATAGATACACCACTTGAGCACAGTGTGATATATAACAAATAGCCATTGCGTGCCTACTCTGTGGCAAGCACCTTTTTCCTATGTGTTGGACATAGGCCAAGGAAGAAAACACAGGTGACTCCTGTCCTTTCAATTTCGAGTAATAAGTGTTACAAAGCAAGGTTATTACTGGTTCCAAGAGGCAACATATTTTATAGATCCTCAGTTATGAAACTGAATCATACAATTTTAGACCTAAATGAGAACCTTGAACTTACTTTCCTCAATCCTCTTGCACAAAACATTCGATTTCAGTACAGTCTATCTTTTCACTGGTTCTAATTGCCTTAATCAACAGAAAAGTTTGGCTTCTTCCCTGTTTCCAATACTCCTTGCTCCCAAGTATGGTACCACAACCACCATATATCTACCCATGATAGAGTCCGGAGCACTGAGAAGAGAGCACCGGACTGATGACGTGCTGCACCTTTACACTCTGGGTTCTCCCATCATCAACACTTTCCAGCCCACACAGTGAACAGAATCCGTATTTTCTGCCCAGAAAATAGCAACCTGTACTACCTTTAGGGAAAACAGACAAACGAAACATGCTTCCATACTTCCTTGGCCTTACTAATGACAAAAGCACAACACGGTTCTGGGAAATTTAGCAAGAGATTTGAGTCTAAGAGGAAGTAACAAACGAGGATGCCTATCAGCACCTTGGTCTAAAAATCTGTAGCAACAATATACTAAAACGCCAAGGAAACAGATGCACATGCACGTGAAGTTGGAAACTCTAGGCAACAGGTTGGCTGCCCCGGATCTACGCTGACAGGTCAGCCTCCCTAGGTCGTGGGTGTGTCTGACGCCGCACGCAAGCACTGATTCACAGCTCTCTCCATAACAACCAGCTCCCACTCAGAGGCTGGCCAGGGCAGGGGAGATGAGGGCCCCATCAGTCCCAAACTTTCCGAACCCCCACCCCGGAGGCCGGGGTTTTGCCTTCCCTCGGTCCCGGGCAACGTCGTCTCAGACAGGATGCGAGGCTACTAGGGAATCTGGGCTGCTCCTGATTCGAACTTCTTTCTTTGGGAGCCTGGGAGAGCCACCCCGAACCCCCGAGACATCTACTTTCCACGACACCTTCGTGGCCTGCGACCCTTCCCCAGCCCCCGGCTACCGCTTCCCGAAGCACCCGGGCCCAGAAACTGACCCTCGTCAGTCCCCGTCCCCGCTCCTTCCCCGCCCCCGGAAAAAGCGGCGGAGAGGCGGGGAGCGGCGCGCGCAGATACGGCGGGGGCGCGCCTCCCCGCGCCCCGGGCCCGCGCAGCAGGTGCGGCCAGGCCCCACCTCCGCCGCGAGGCCCCGGCTACTCACCCCAACGATGTTCCTCTGCGACCTAGCCGCCGGCACAGACGCCTCTTCCGCCCGCTCCGCACCCCCCTCTTTGCCACCGCCCCCTTGGCCGCTGCCGTGGCCGCCGTCCTCGCCGCCGCCGCCGCCGCGGCGCGCGTCCGCCCTCACGCACTCCGCCGTGGCCGCGCACGCGCAGCTGCGCGCTGGCGTCACTTAGCAACCGATCGACCACCGGCTGCCGGGTCGGGGGCTGCAGGCCCGGAAGGTCACCAGAAGCGGCTTCTGCGGCTTTTCCGCACCGGCCCGACCCTCTGCGCCTAGAGAGCAGGGGGCTCCAGGGTGTGGCTGCCCTGCCGGCACCTGGCTCCCGGTAAGTCGCGTCAGCACACGTCACTGTATGGCGTCACCGGCGCGCGTCACTACGGATGGGAAGGTCCTGGACGCCTGTGGAGTGACCTCGTCCAGGCCGCCGCAGATCCGATCGGCAAGTTCTTGGAGGTGCACGAAGGTTCTCCTAGGAGGAGGACCAGAAAGGGCTGAGAGCGTGGTTAATGTCGAGGCTGCTGAGTGACGCTCGTTAACTGCCCCAACCTTGACTCTCAGTTTCCTCTTTCAGTAAAAGGGCATCATGATACCGGTCCAGCCTACGCTGGAGAGTTGTGAGGTGAGAATGAAATAAGTCTGCAAAGGTATTTTGTAAGTATAAAGCCCATTTGACTTGGTGGCTCACGCCTGTAATCCCAGCACTTTTGGGAGGCCGAGGTGGGTGGATCGCTTGAGCTCAGGAGTTCGAGACCAGCCTGGGCAACATAGTGAAACCCCGTCTCTACAAAAAGACAAAAACTAGACAGATATGGTGGCACGAGCGCGCCTGTAGTCACAGATACTCTGGAGGCTGAGGTGGGATGATCACTCGGACCTGGAGAGTTCGAGATTGCAGTGAACCGTGATCCTGCCGCCGCACTCCAGACTCTACGGTGAGAGCAAGACAGTGTCTCAAAAAAAAAAAAAAAAAAAAAAAAAAAAAAAAAAAAAAAAGTGTATCTCTGAGGCAAGGGAATTGCTTGAACCTGAGAGGTGGAGGTTGCTGTGAGCCGAGATCGCGCCACTGCCCTCCAGCTTGGCGACAGAGCAAGACACCGTGTCAAAAAAAAAAAAAAAAAAAAAAGTATTAAGGTAGATAAGAGTCCTAGAAATCCGGTGCAGTTCTGACTAGCTGATGTGGGAGAGTCAATTACCCTTGGCGCTGGGGCAAGCTAGCGGACGCCCCCAGCCCCCTGGCCCCCGGGCGCGTGTTGGAGGAGACAAATTGGCAAGGACTTAATTCCAGGCAAAGGAAACTTCATGAGTAAAAGCAGGAAGTGAAAATGGTCAGGAAAAGCAAGGCTTGGGGTAGGGAGACCCATTTTTAGGTCATGTTGCAGTACTCCAGACAAGCGATAAGAACATTGAACAAGGCATTGGCAGTGGTAATAGAAGAGGGGATAGATGTTGGCGCCATTAAGGTGGTAGAATTCACAGCCAGGTTTGAGTAGGCCAGCTTTAAGGGAGATAGTAGTAACATTTAGCAAGATGGCAAGCTACATGAGTGTTGATTATCCACAGGTGTCTAAGTTACTATTATAGATAGTAATGGTGACATTCCTTAGGAGGATGATCAGATATGTGGAGTATGATGATGAGTTCAAATATGGATATGTTTGTTGGGGAAACATTTCTTCTCCATTCACAATGTCTCCTGTATGGAATGACATCCATTAGTGTAATACTCTCCTGGCTTCTCACTGTACCTGTCCCCAACTCACTCTTCCCTAGAGGAGTGACTTCCTGATTGGTGAATAAACTGGGCATGTGACATCTATCCCATTCTTTTTCTCTTAAAAGAGAGCTATCTTCAGGGAACTGTCCTGGTGTTCTCTTCCGTTTCTCCTGGAGCAGGGCCTATGGGTGGGGACAAGGGTGCCTAGTCCAGGGCTACAAAGAGAGTAAATGTATTTGATTCCAGAGTTTGGCATTAGGAAGCTCTCTGTCCACAGGTAATATTTAATACCAGCTTTATCAGCTGTGTTACACTAACAATGATCCCCCCCCAAAAAAACGACCAGATCCTAATACCCAGAACCTGTGAATATGTTATATTATATGGTAAAGGGAACTTTGCAGATATGATTAAATGATGCATCTTGGGAGGTTATCCTGGATTGTCTGACTTGGCTGGAGGCAGGAGGGTCAGAGTCAGAGAAGGAGATGTGATGATGGAAGCAGGGGTCAGACAGAGAAATTTGAAGATGCTGTACTATTGGCTTTGAAGATGGACCCAAGGAATGCAAGAAAATTGTAGAAGCTGGAGAAGGCAAGGAAATGGATTCTTCTCTAGCACCCTGAGAGTACAGCCCTGCCAACATCTTGATTTTAGGACTTCTCACTTCTTGAACTGTAAGATAATAAACTTGTATGTTTTAAGCTACCAAGTTTGTGGTAACTTGTTACAGCAGCAATAGGAAACTAATACAGTCAGTAATGAATACAGTTGGTTTCCTGCAGCTTTCTCCTTTATCTGGAAAAGAAGGGTACAATTCAGTAGGTCCCCTCAGAGACTATAGCAATATGTGCCCTGATGGAGGGAACCTCCAAATCTAGAGAAAAATGTCCAGTAAACAGTCAAACTATACAGGTCTATGAATGAGGAAAGAGGTTGAGTTAAAATAGGTTTGGAAGAAAAAAAATTATAATTGGTAATGTAAGCCCAAGGCATGGATGAGATGAATACATGAGAAAATACAGAAGAAATAATAAGGAGAACAAGGATAGGGCCCCTGAGGAGCACAAACTTTGGAAGGAGGTGCAGATGATCAGAAACCCAAAAAGAAGTCTGAGGAGGAATGGCCAGAGAGAGAAAAGGAGAATAGGTGAGCCTAATGCCTCTGAAACCCTGCACGCAAGGTGGAGAGGGGTCAACAGAGTCAGAGACCACAAATAGGTCAAGTATATCAAGAACTGGAAACCATTCACTGGATTTAGCAACAGAAAAGTGATTGGTAACCAACAATAGCAAACTTCAGTGGGATAGTGGAGGTAGATACCAAATCACTGAGGTCTGAAAGGCAGACCAACATAGTGGATTGGCCTCTGGACTGGATTGATTGCAGTTTTGAGATTCTAGTCTTGATTCTGGCCATTGATTAGCTAGGTAACTGAACAAATCCCTCAACTATTCCAGGCTTTGGTTTTCTCATCTGGCAAAGGATGGGATCAAACTGAGTCTATAATTTTCACATTAATTCCTAGATAATCCCCCCAATTTTATATCAGACTCACTTGCTTATAACAGCACACTTCAAATCCTTCTCAGATCATTTTACCAACCAGTGAGAACCAGTATTACATGCCAGCTTCTGTCCTAGATACTATGGCTATGACAAAGTTTTCTCAAGGAACTCACAATTTGGAGAAAGAGAGAGAGAAAAAAATACTAAGTATATAACTAGTTGTTGTAGTTCTTTTTAAGGAAAAGAAAATTATATATATATATATATATATATATATATATATATGTATGTATGTATAAAAGCTGGGTGCAGTGGCTCACACCTGTAGTCCCAGCACTTTGGGAGGCCAGGGCAGGCAGATCACTTGAGGTCAGGAGTTGGAGACCAGCCTGACCAATATGATGAAACCCCATCTCTACTAAAAATACAAAAATTATCCAAGCATGGTGGCATGCACCTGTAATCCCAGCTACTCTGAGGCTGAGACAGGAGAATCGCTTGAACCCAGGAGGCAGAGGTTGCAGTGAGCCAAGATCGCACCATTGCACTCCAGCCTGGGCAACAAGGGTTAAACTCTGTCTCAAGAAAATAAAGAAAGAATAAGATAGACCTGGTTGTGGTGGCTCATGCCTGTAATCCCAGCACTTTGGAAGGCCAAGATGGGAAGATCACCTGAGGCCAAGAGTTTGAGACCAGCCTGGGCAACATAGCCAGACACCCATCTCTACAAAAATGTTCTAAAAATTAGCAGGTGTAGTGGCAGGCACCTGCAGTCCTAACTACTTGGGAGGCTGGGGCAGTAGGATTGTGTGAGCCCAGGAGTTAGAAGTTACAGTGAGCTGTGACTTTGCCAGTGCATTTCAGCCTGGGCAACAGAGCAAGACCCTGTCTCAAACAATAAAGTAAATTTAAAAGCTAGATATAAATATTGTAATTATAATACAATATACTCTAATAGAATCTGTATGAAGTAAAATGAGGACTATATAAAGTGATACAGGTAAGAGAGCAGTCAGTTCTATGTAATGGAAGTCAAGGGTATTGTACTTACCTATACTGTCAGGTAGGCACAGTATGCCTCACAAATGGACACTAATACATTAACGCATTTCCATGGAGATAAAAAAAGACCAGGAGAATTGTGCTATACCAGTGATGTCACCTAACATTCCTTCTAGGTAGTTTTGTGTGATTTAAATAAATATTTACATAAAACTGTTTCTAAACTAAAATTGTTTAATTGTTAAAATGCATACAAAATTAAATGCAAGAATAATTTTTATTTTCTCAGTAGATCCAAGACGAAACATTTATTGTCACTAATGTCATGCTTTGATACATTTGCTTATCTAATCTTCATATGTTATCTCACTTAATTTTGTAAACATTAGCTTATTGTGTAGCCCATTGACAAAATATCTGTTTTAGCAGATGGGGTACAAAGTTTAAATAATTTGGCCGAGGTCACAGTAGACCAAGATTTAGACTCAGCACAAGCATCCTCTTTCCAGGAAACTGGCCCTTAGTTGGTTTAAGTGCCCTCTCTCTGCATTGTTAACACATGCACACATTCATTTTAGCATTTGCTTTAATAATAAGGATGTTTACAATGTGCCAGGTACATAGTACCTGTACTTATTTACCTCAGTTTAAGTGTTTTGTAGGCATTAGTTCATTTAAGCCTCATAACTGCCCTTTGAAGTAGGTGATATTATTCACAATATTTTATAAAACTGGAAGCTAAGGTATAGGAAGGTTAAGTAATGACTCAAGGTACAATTAATAAGTGATAAAGCAAGGATTCAAATCCATGCTTTTAACCCCCAGGCTTCATACTATGTACCCTTTCCCTTACACTGAGGGATTCCAGAAGGCATAGCTTACAAGTTGTTGTGTGTGATATCACTCTGTGTTCCTCATAAGAACACGAGAATTTTCTCCCTGAGCCACAAATCATGAAATATTTGGCTACCCTTTAGTAACTGATGTGTTTTTCTCTTTATAGGCAATGTGAATTATATAACTGCCTGTTTTTCCCTGTTCACTTTGACTGCTAAGAAGCTCCGAGTAAATTTGTTGGCTTGGTGTTTGTAAGTGGGTGGATTGGCTTGCATATCTGTATTCTGTTGCTTTGAAATTTTAAAAAATAGTTGGGAGAAAAGTAATGTAATTTTTTTTTTATTTTCCAAATTGTTGACAATGTACAATGATAATTTTTAAAATTAGAAAAATAAACTTTGTTCTTAAAAGAATGTTTGCAGCTTCAATTGATTTGTCACGCTTTGACTCTGAATAAGAGCTGGTTTCAGGTTAAGTTGCAAGAGTTAAATATAGAATCCAGCTTCATATAAAATCACAACTTCTATGTGACCTTGAAAGTCTGGATCAGTAGAATTGTTCAGATGGACACATTCTCCCTTGCTTTAGAAATAAGAAACCTTATTATCTTCCTATATTCTGATGATATCTTATTATAATAAACTTCAAAGCTGATCTTGTTGCTCACCATTTGTCGAAAGAATGGATCAAGATCACCTGTTCCAAAACTAAAATAATTTTTTTGGCACATGTCCTCAGATTTAATTGGCTTAGATCCAGTAACTAAATACCAGATTGATTTATTTACT